CCAATTTATATTTTGAGAAGGCTTATCCTTAAACTTTTACACTATTAATTTGCTTAGAACAACTCATAAAATACAAAAGGTTTAAACTTATTTTTAATCCTTATTTTGCCAAAAGTGCCTTTGCCCAATCAAACTAGTTCTCTATAGGTCCATCGGCAAGGATATCGATCCAATGACAGAATATCATTTGAATATGTCACCTGCAATGCTGCCTTTGTTGGTGTCCAGAATGTAATGCGAGCAGGTGCACATAAAACTTGCCTTTTTACCTTGGACTCCAGCTCAAAGAAATGGCAAACGTGAGTGCCCTCCAGTCTTTCCCGTGAATTGGAATTTTCACCATTGGCAAAAAGCAAACACACACATCTTGGCCCCAATTGTCTTTATAATACGTCGTGATCTTTTTACTTTCATTGTTTCTCTCCTCAGACAATTTTTCTCTGCCTCGGATTGCTTTCTCTCTTGCCATTTACCAATGGCATACCCACGTTTTCAAAATGCTAGTGGAATTGCCTAGCCCTGGGCATTTGAAACTAGAACCGACGGATTACCCGAAAATCGAACCAAAAAACTGAATTCGATTCGATTTAAATGGTTTTTTATTTTTACTGTTTTGGTTTTTATATTAACCGAATAATTTTGGTTCGATTTTGATTCAATTTTTTAAAAATTAAAAATCAAAAATAAAACCAGAATTAGGATAAAATAGATAAAATATAATAAAATATAACAAAATATGATAAAATATATAATAAAATATAATTTATTATTAAAAAAATAATTGATTAATATTTATTTTATAAAAACCAAAACTGAACCGATTTCATTGATAAAAATCAGTAACCGAATCGATTAATTTATAAAAATTTCGATTCGGTTTCGGTTCATAAAATTAAAACCGAATTTTTTTGGTTAATTCAAAATCGGTTTCGGTTTTAAACCAAAATCGGTTTTCCCACCCCTAAAATTAGGGCTGAGCATTTTTTAACTGAACCGATGGTTTATCCAAAAACCGAACCAAAAAAATGAATTCGGTTCGGTTACAATGGTTTTTGGTTTTATTTTTTTGGTTTGGGTATTAACCGAATTGATTTTGGTTCGGTTTCGGTTGAGTCTCTTAAAAACCAAAGACCGAAAATAAAACCAAAATTAGGATAAAATAGATAAAATATATTAAAATAT